GTCTTGCCTTGGCCCACCAGTCCCTTCCACCGGGTCTGGTGGCGTATCTTCATGTGCAACTTCACGTGCCTCAACACGGTCTTGTGGTCCAGCCACTTGGTGTGATGTGGCACGCCAAGTGCCAGCTCGTCCTGGCCGTCGCGGTCGTCTTGAACCGTCAGGCTGAGGTGGTGGAGGCAGAGCGTGCTGCACGTCCGTCCACATTGACCCGATGTCGCCGTTGCGGCGTAGCTTCTCCGCGTAGGGTGAGGCGGCGAGCTTGGAGTTGAGGAACAACCGCACGAGCTCGTCCTCGTGTCCTCGCCAGTGCTCCTCCTGCAGACGGTAACGTTTGCGTACATCTGCGTCTTCGCGACGGCAACGATAGCCGCGTCCTTCGAGTGCAGCATCTGCCAGGCGTGCGCCACCTGCAGCGCCTGATGCATCTCCACAAGAGGCTGCAACCCCAGACCGCCTGCCGATGTCGGAGCGTAGAGGATTTCGCTGGTGGCGGACTGGAGCAGGCGTAGAAGGTGGCGCAGGCCGCGCGCCACAGCTCTGTCGAAGCTCTAGTTGGGACTGGAGCGGGCGGAGGTGGCGGTGTGCATACTCTGCCTTGGGGTAGACGTATGTCTAGAGGGCCCTGACCACTTGCCATGTCGCCAGTCCCGACTGCATCAGCGCCACCGCCTCTCGCTTGATCTGTTGGAGCTTGGGTTCGAGCTGGAGGCGGTGGCGCACGTGGTCGAAGCCATCACACCCCCCAGGTATCTGTAGCTTTGTTGGAGGCTGAGGGAGGTGATGGCGTCGTCGTGCAGTTCCAGCTGCACGCTCTCGTCGCGAGCCGGATTGCCGCTGGCGTTCGTGATCGCCGCGAGGCTCGCGCACTTGGCGGCGTTCGCTCGCAACCCAGTCCACTCGAGGAAGGCTTTCACGACGGCATGGCAGCGCTTGATCCCTGCTGCGCTGTCGTTGAAGACCTTCAAGTCATTCGCGTAGGCGGTGGCGCAAGGCCGCACGCCGTCCGCCAGTGAGACGCCAACGTTGTCAAGCTGCTCGAGCGCACGGAGGAGCGGTACGAGTGCGGCGATGGACAGGAGGGGGCTGAGCGGACATCCTTGATACACACCCACCTCCTGTCGCACTGGATCCGTCGCCCCGTCCGTAGTGTTCCCCACCACGAAAAATGAGTCTTGGTAGATGTTGCTGCAGCGCGTAATGAAGTCGTGCTCGACGCCGAGCAGGCGGAGCACGTACCAGAGCATGTCTTGGTGGACGGAGCCAAACGCATTCCGCAAGTCGTACCAGACTTGGTACAGCTTGCGGTGCATGCGGCGGGTCTGGTCCAAGAGCGTGGTTGCCACGAAGTTGTGCTCGTGGCAACCGTTGAACGCCCGGAACCCCTTTTGCGCCATCGGTAGAAGCTCGTTCCCCTCTAGGTACGCGGACAGCCGCTGTGCCAGCAGGCCACTGTAGAGCTTGTAGATGGCGGTCTGCAAGCAGATCGGCCGCCAGTTTGTTGGGTCACCCGGGTTGCCCTTCTTGTGGACGAGTCGGACGAAGCCCACCTTCCACAGAGCGGGTACACGGCGGTGGCGTCAGCAGAACTGGAATGCTGCGTGTAGGAGGGGCAGTAGCTGCGCCGCGAACTTCTTGTAGATGTCGTAGCCCACGCCGTCGCGGCCCGGGCTGGATGTTCCCGTTGTCCGTGCGAGCTGGTCCTCCACCTCATCCTCCGTCAAGTCGTCCGTGAGCGCGTCGCGCTGTGAAGGTGGTTGGCCAATGCCGGCCATTGCACGTCGGAACCGTTCGCCGCACGCTTCGTCGGGCAGAAAGTTAATGCGCGGTGTGTTGGTGCCCGTGAAGTGGTCGTGGAGGTCGGACGCGCTGATCGGGCACGTTTCTGGGTGTTCGTCCTCCGCCGTCTCGGCCGTCAAGCTCTTCAGGATTCTCTCCACGCACTTCGCTTCATCCTTCGCTAAGGTCTGCCTCAGCTCCTGTTTCGCCATTGACGTACGCACCCGGCCGACACGTCGCCGTGCCCTCTGCACGGCTCGCTGGTCCGTCGGTGTTGCACGCTGCACGGCGTGCATGTCATCCAAGGCCTCGTCGAGGCGATGCTCACGCTGGGTGCGTGTCACGCGTGGTGGTCGGTAGCCGTGCTGGTGCGGCCGCTGTGCAGATCCGGCTGGTGGCGTGGCGGAATACGGCTGGAGAACTGCCCTGATGCGGTCGGGGATGGCGCTGATGTAGCCCTCACCGGAGGCCCAGCTTTCGGCGTCGACGACCTTGCATGCCAATTCTTCCGCCATGGTCTGGAGGGCCGCAGCTGCAGCGTCCTGCTCTTCGTCAGTCCGGAGGCGGAGTCGCAGCCGAGGCTGTCGCGCTGGAGCAGATCCAGGGCCAATGGGCAGTGTAGGAAACGTTTCTCCACCGTCACGCGCGGCAATCTCGGCTGCGATCTCCTCGTCATTGTCATCGTCTAGTGGTGCAGGAGCTCTCGGGGCTCGTACGTCCGGTGACAGTTGCTCTCTCTGCAGGCGCTCAGGAAGCGTCTGCTGGACACAGGTCTCCATTGCTGCCTGGTGCTCGCTGCACTCTGCCACCGTTCGCTTGAGATCGAGCGCCCGGTTAGCCAACCGATCTGCGTGCGCGTTGGCCTTCCTGTCAATATGCCGGAGCGTGTGCGACGGCAGCGAGCGTAGCACGTGACGAACCCGGTTCCGGAGCTGGCGGAGGCGCTGGTTCCTGCACGCGAAGGAGCCCTTGACCTGCGCCACCACGAGGTGGCTGTCGCCCTCGATCACTAGGTCCTGGGCACCGTGGTGGACAGCGCTTCGCACTCCAAGCAGCAGCGCCGTGTATTCTGCGGTATTGTTAGTTTCGCTGCTGCTTGGCATGTAGTGTGAACACGTCCACGTGACGACCCCGTTCGGTTTGAACAGTGCGGCTCCTGCTCCACCCGGGCCTGGGTTGCGTCTGCACGCACCGTCGAAGCGAAGTATCCACGGGTCCGGCGGTGCAGGTCCGTCGTCGGCATCCGTTCCCACTCGCGCAGTTGTGTTGGAGGTCTCCATCGGCTCCGGGAGCTGGATCGTGGTCCCTGCGGCGCGTGGAGGTCCCCACCTCGAGCTGGAGCGACGAGCAGCACGCGGGATGTACACCTTGGGTCCCCACCGTGTCTGTGTCGGGCGTCTTCCTTCGCCAGGTTGACTTGAGCGAGATACTGGTGCCGCCCTGGTCGGCAGGCCGGTGGCCAGC